CTTAGCACGACAACTTCCCGACTGTCTCTTACAACAAGGTTTGCCCGGCTCCGGTGAGGCAGGGGCGATGACGGCAGCGTAACTTCGGATCGCTCCAGTGCTTGTAGTCATCGCTAGGTGTTCCATGGACATGATTATAATTTATATTACCTCTGTTGTTTTTTGTAATGCCATGATTGAAGATGAATAGATTCAAAGTTTCTCGGAAAAAAAACTACTGGTATACACATGTAACACATGAGAGCTTTTGTTCTTGCAACAAATTAAATTGGCCTAATTGACTATTGGTTTCGTACATATGGATGCACTGATCTAGGAAATTTGCAAATATATGTACTGGAGGACTTCTGGCTAGCATAAATGAAAAGTTTGGTTTTGATTTAATTTGGTCAGTTCTATAAGAAGAGCAATAGTACTATCATAGTGTAAAAAGTGGGTCATTGATTTAATTTGCTTTTTGACACTATCATAATGTCTAAAAGCATCTTATATTAAGTTACAGAGGGAGTATTTCCTAGCGGCCTGTTTTTAAGTTTGGTTTTATGCTAGAAGGTCATATGGGTGGATGGAGGTACGTAGCTAGGGTCCATTTGGATATCGGAGCAGCGAGGCTAGCTCCATGCATGCCTCGTCCATAATCCTTAGCCCTATAAGTTAGTGCTTCTTCCTTTCTTTCTTTCTCTATGCATCTCTGCGTGTGACACGGTCGAATATTTATGTCGAAGGAAATCTAGCTTGCACTTGAATTCTTAGTCTCTAAGCAACTGCCTCACCAATTGCTCTCATCCATAATAATTTGTGAAGAAAAGCACAACTTTAATAAATGAAAACCTTTTAAGGCTAACGACATGCGCAATATATATTGCTAGCTCGCATTATTGTATAGTGTGCTTCAGCTTAAGTAAGGCATGCGTCCAACACATTTTGTCTAAAGCTATATAAATAATTCCCCACTAAAAAGGATATCTAAATAAACCCGATACACATGCAACATTTTGTGTAGTTAAAGAACATGCATATATACTCTCTCAATTCCAATGAATAAGGCGCACACAGATCCCAAAGTCTAACCTTGATTCTAAATTAGACCAGTGATATATGTTTCTGTAACCCAAAAATTATACCATTGAAAACTTATTTTGAATACGTATTCAACGGTATAATTTTTTTCACATATAACCCATATTTAATTGGTCTAATTTACTGTCAAATTTTAATTTAAGATGCGGGCACGTCTTATTCATTGGAATGGTGGGAGTACTCGCCTTGAGTATCATGTACTCTTCTACCAAATCATAAAGGGACTCCAAGACAATCCAACACAGTGTTTGCAGTGTTCATACATGCCTGGGGAGAGCCCATCTCGATGATCCGTCCATGTTTATACTAATTCTATATCGAGTTTACCAGCTCGTTCGTTTGACTAATAGTTTAATTACATCCTATATGTCAATGTATATTTGTGCTGCTTTCTTTATTTCTTAAACGGTAGAACATGATAGTTCCCTTTATATATTTCCAAGTGAAAATTCTAGCTTTTACCCCCTAGTTTCATGTTTTTGACACTGATCAGGGGTGCTAAAAAACCTTTGATTTGGGTCCCAATTTCTCAGCACCTTCTACATCAAGAAAATAGCGCTCTCTTGCCAGATCTAACGATCTACATGATAGGGTGGGTTTAACCCCGAAGGGCATTTCTAACCGATCCCCTAAAAATAGCGGAGTATCCCTAGCGAAGTAAAAGCTTAGTGGAGTAACTCCACTAAAATTTTGTTGGACCTAGCCGATCCGCTATATATAACATAGTAAAAAAATCATTTGCATCATATTTTCGGTGACCTAAACACATTTCCTTGCTTCTTTATTTCATTCAACGACATTGGAGTACATAATTCACCAACTCTTCACGACGAGAGCAAGACAAAAGAAAACAAGAACCACAAATAGACATTTTAGAAGATATCCAATTTTCCTAACTGCTCCTACTAGTTGGATTAATATCTTCTCTATGTCTTCATTGCTGCTATGTGGATTCTTGAGCCTGTTGGAAATATGCCCTAGAGGCAATAACAAAATGGTTATTATTATATTTCCTTGTTTATGATAATTGTTTATTATCCATGCTAGAATTGTATTGATAGGAAACTCAGATACATGTGTGGATACATAGACCACAACATGTCCCTAGTGAGCCTCTAGTTGACTAGCTCATTGATCAATAGATGGTTATGGTTTCCTGACCATGGACATTGGATGTCATTGATAACAAGATCACATCATTAGGAGAATGATGTGATGGACAAGACCCAATCCTAAGCCTAGCACAAGATTGTGTAGTTCGTATGCTAAAGTTTTTCTAAATGTCAAGTATCTTTTCCTTAGACCATGAGATTGTGCAACTCCCTGATACCGTAGGAATGCTTTGGGTGTACCAAACGTCACAACATAACTGGATAGCTATAAAGGTGCACTACGGGTATCTCCAAAAGTGTCTGTTGGGTTGGTACGAATCGAGACTGGGATTTGTCACTCCGTGTGACGGAGAGGTATCTCTGGGCCCACTCGGTAGGACATCATCATAATGTGCACAATGTGATCAAGGAGTTGATCACGGGATGATGTGTTACGGAACGAGTAAAGAGACCTGCCGGTAACGAGATTGAACAAGGTATCGGCATACCGACAATCGAATCTCGGGCAAGTACTATACCGGTAGACAAAGGGAATTGTATACGGGATTGATTGAATCCTTGACATCGTGGTTCATCCGATGAGATCATCGTGGAACATGTGGGAGACAACATGGGTATCCAGATCCCGCTGTTGGTTATTGGCCGGAGAGTTGTCTCGGTCATGTCTGCATGGTTCCCGAACCCGTAGGGTCTACACACTTAAGGTTCGATGACGCTAGGGTTATAGGGAATAGATATATGTGGTTACCGAATGTTGTTCAGAGTCCCGGATGAGATCCCGGACGTCACGAGGAGTTCTGGAATGGTCCGGAGGTAAAGATTTATATATGGGAAGTCCTGTTTTGGTCAACGGAAAAGTTTCGGGTGCTATCGGTAACGTACCGGGACCACCGGGTGGTTCCCGGGGGTCCACCAGGTGGGACCAACGGCCCCAGAGGGCTGCGTAGGCCAAGTGTGGGAGGGGACCAGCCCCAGATGGGCTGGTGCGCCCCCCCCCTCCCCACCAAGGCCCAAGGTGCATGGAGAGTGGGAGGGGGCAAACCCTATGCTCAGATGGGCCTAAGGCCCACCCTAGGGCGCCCCCTTCTGTCTCCCCCCTTGGCCGCACCCTAGATGGGATCTAGGGGCTGGCGCACCCCTTGGGGTGGGAACCCTAGAGGAGGCGCAGCCCCCTTCCTTTCCCCTATATATAGTTGAGGTCTAGGGGTTGCCCAACACACGAATTATTCTCTCCCAAGGCGCAGCCCTACCTCTATCCCTCCTCGTCTCTTGCGGTGCTTGGAGAAGCCCTGCTGTAATGCCACGCTCCTCCATCACCACCACGCCGTCGTTCTGCTGCTGTACGGAGTCTTCCCCAACCTCGCCCTCTCTCCTTGCTGGATCAAGGCATGGGAGACGTCATCGGGCTGCACGTGTGTTGAACGCGGAGGCGCCGTTGTTCGGCGCTTAGATCGGAATCAACCGCGATCTGAATCGCTACGAGTACGACTCCTTCATCCGCGTTCTTGTAACACTTCCGCTTAGCGATCTACAAGGGTATGTAGATGCACTCCCCTTCTCTCTCGTTGCTAGTCTCTGCATAGATTGATCTTGGTGATGCGTAGAAAATTTTGAATTTCTGCTACGTTCTCCAACAGAGCCAACACTTCTTTCTTCTTTGATTCTAAAGAAGTAGACGTTGCTTTGCGTCTAATCTCATCTCTAGTCTCATCTCTAGCCTCAATCTAGCAACGAATGCACGAACATCTATCAATTTTCGTGCTAGCAATAGATCGTTGTATTCTTCTTCCCAATACCAAAACTTGCATCCATCCTACACACATAGATGAGCAAACAATGAGCTACCGATGCACCGAATCCGGTGAAGAACCGAATGAAAACAAGCACATACCCCATCATTTGTGCACTTGAAGAACACCCATCAGGGATGTTGCGGCGTGGTAGAGACTCGGCGCACCACCTGCCGTGTGCAATCATCGCATTCTATGACCGGCAACGGCGAGCCACTACGCCAACGCGGCGACCGGGCGACGGTCGGGCGTGTATTTGCGAGTGAACCTTCGATGGGAGAGATTCGAGTGGCTAGAGGAGGAGCCGGTACCAACATGCGGCCCAGCGGCATTGCCGGGGTTGTGCGGTCTGCTTCTCGGCCAATCCATGGCAAGGCGTAGAGCCCCCACCGTCCAGAAAAGCCAAATCCCGTGGAGGCGGGAGCAGGCGCCGATCCACCACTTCTTCGCCCGCGACGGGAGGAGGAGGCACAAATCAAATTGGTAGAGGACAGCGGCGGAGCCTACGGAGGGGCCGCGGTTGCGGGCCGGTGCCGGCGGGGGGTGGGAGGGGCGGCGCAGGCATAGATGTGGCGCGAGAGGGGACGGAGGGCAGTGAAGGGGAGTGCGGCTTTTACTCAACCGCCGCGCGATGGAGTAAGTATAATGATATTTTTAGGCCCGGAGTAAAATTTTACTTTGTTAAGGCGGATAAGGAATCGACTAGGTTATCTAGTGAGGTGTTCTAAGCAACAGATCAGAGATCCTATAATGTTTTTCCTAAATGTTTATATCTAACAAGTGGTGCTTTCCTCTTCAAATTTTTGGTCATGGAGATCAGAGACATGATTTGGAGACCATGGGAAAACATAAGTATACATAACTTGACTTTCGTCAATAAAGTGCACTCTATGGTGCACTCATAAATATAAATTCATGTTGGCTGACACAGCAAGACGATCAACAAACTGACAAACCATTGTCAAATACTCAACAACACAAAATTGGCGCCGATGAAGAGTATAGTTTGGAGTAATGATCAGGCGGCGATGATGGAGTATGACTCCACAATGAAGAGCGGCCTCTGCCGGAGCTGCCGGCACCGCCGCACGCTCTGCATCAGCTCCTCCCTGTCCCCCACCCGCGACGTGAACAGCAGCGACGCGCTCTCCTCCTCAACCTCTTCCTCGTCCTCCTCGTCGGACTGCATGCCAGTGGACGCGGCGGCCACAGCGGCCGCCAGCGTCGTCGTGGACGACGGCACCCTGCGCAGCCCCGACGTCACCGTCGGAGCGGCCAACTCGTCCTCGGTAGCTCTGCAGGAGCGCGATGGGGACGGGATCGTCTTCGATTCGTCCGTGGTGACCGGCGCGCCGCCCACGAACTTGTTGATGACTATCCTGGAACACCGCTGCGCCTTGCCGGACGCCGCCACCACCTCCACCAGCATGCCCCTGTCAACTACCTCCACCTCGTCCTCCTCCTCCTCCACTTCATCTTCTTCATCCTCGACAACTTCTTCAACATCCTTCTCTTGCAGCATCTGTTCTTGGTCTGGCTGTTGCTGTTGCTTGTTCTGGTGGTCGAGGACAGAGTCCGAAGCAGAGGAGTAGTCCACGAAACAGAGCTTGAGGCGGCCACCCTCGCGCTGCGCGTGGAGGTACCCCTGGGGCTTCGCGGCCACAGCCTCGAGCACGAGGCGTCCGTCGCGTCGGTGCGGGCGCACCCGCAGGCACGGCCCGCCGTCGCCGCCGCGGTGGCGAGACATAGACGGCAGTGGCGGGGGGAACGCGCGCTGCGGCCGGGCGCGGTGGTACTGCACAGCCCTCAGCTCCCCAGCCGTCGTATCTTCCTGCCCTTCTTCTTCTTGCAATGCCGCTGAGTCATCATCGACGACGGCGTCCTCGCTCTGGTGGGACGAGTGTGGCGGCGCGTAGAGGAGGGACGCCAGGTCGAGGAAGTCGCCGCGGGTGCCGGTCTCGCAGCCGAGGCTCTCCGTGCAGAGGCTGAGGCTCTCGCGGCTCATGGACCGCCGCACCGTCGCCATCGGGTAGCCGACGATGGTCTTGACCGCCGGCGGCTCGGGCTTGGTGGCCGGAGCCTGGATGGCGCTCCACATGTCTAGCTGCCGCGGCGGTGGCGTCATCGGCGCCGGCATGCGAGTGTGCGTGTGAGGAGGAGCGACGTCCAGCGCCGGCATGACATGGCACACCGCCACCGTCATCTCGAACGGAACGATCTACAGAAAGATCAGAGTGGAAGAAGAAGATCGGTGAAGATCGCAGTGGTGGAGATGAAGCTTCCTAGCGGGGTTGTGTAGTGAGATTGTGAGGGAGTGAGTGAGGTGGTGACTGGGGGTGAGAGGGTATTTGTAGGCGGGAAGGGGGAGCCTTTTCAGCCGTCCAAATACAAGTTACATTTATTTGGTTGCTAAACAAGTTTTAATTGACCTTTTCAGCCGTCCAAATACAATTTGTGTTGCACGCGAAAAATGATTTTTAAAATATCAAAAAAAAATCCCAGGTATTTTTTTATGAATTCATAGTCACATCCAAATGCTACCTGCGAAGTTTTAGGCAAAAAAGTTAAACTTTTGGCATGTAAAAAAAATTAAACACCAATGTTACCCCAAATTTGTATTTTCACTGATGAAACCCTACTGCTCCGTTTCGTATGAAAATTGTCAAGCATGCCTGGGACACTAACACGAACATTCATAAAAAAATATCAGAATTTTTTGAAAATATTTTACCGCTTCTTTTGAGTCACTGTTCATCCGGGAGCAAATGCTCCTGGGAGCCAAAACGTGATGTAGTACGTTTGCAAATCAAGAAAGTACATTCCATCTTCTCTTTTCTTTAGCAGCTAATAATGCTAGTACTAGTAAATTCACTGGATGTCAATGGGGGACAGCAAGCTAGGGCCAAGCATCCCACTGTCTTCTGCTTTATTTCCTGTTTCCACTACTTACTAGCATCTTGAAAATTTAGGCTTTATTAGGTGTTGCATCCTCTACAATTATTCTTCTAACAAGCATCAAGTGTGTCGTAGTTGGGTTTCTAGTCACCTACATACTACTTTCCGGCAACTAGAAATATTTTGCACTTACAAAAAAATTGCACATTTGCAAAGTTTAGGCCAGATGGATTACTCCTTAATAATATAGCATTCCTTTTATGTTGTTGAGGGAATTAATACTATAGCACTCTTGCAACACACAATATATGCCCATTTGCAAACTCGTAGTACTACCTACTTCCTCTATCCGTGAATAAGTGCACATCTAGTTTTTTGTCCTAAGTCAAAGTTTTAATACATCGACCAACTTTATAAGGAAAAGTAGCAGAATTTATGGCACTAAATTAGTATCACTATATCCGTTTTGAAATGTACTTTCATAGGACCAATTTGATGTTATAAATTCTACTGTTCTTTTCCACAACTTAGAACAAAAGGTAGAAATACACTTATTCGCGGACAGAGAGAGTTGTGCGGTACTTGGATATTACTAATAATTAGTATTCTTGTTGTCTGGTAATATCTAGCCTTCACAGCTCTGCAAGCACATAACGCGAGCTCCTTTTCGTTAGCTTTGTGCTCTTGTTTTCTTACACCTTTCTTCTTTTTTTCTTCTTCTTTTTAAGTCTGTGTGTGGTGACTGTCTAGCTAGGCTAGTGGAAACAAGTCCCCCATCATACTCCACCAGTGCCATGCATGGAACATGGGACAATACTCATCATTCATTATTAGTTTGTCTCCTTGTGCCCTTCTTACAAATTTAATACCTAAAAACACATAATTAATTAACTAAATAAATATCCCTATGTTTTTATTTACTCTGCGTATTAGAGTTGTCTGAAGTCAAACTTTATAAAGTTTGACCAAATTTATAGAAAAAAGTACAAACATTTACTATAACAAATCTATATGATGTGAAAGTACATTCAATAATAAATCTCTAATGGTATTGATTTGTTATTGTGTATGTTAATATTTTTGTTTATAAATTTTGTCAAAGTTTATAAAGCTTGACTTTGACTGAAGCTAATACGCGGACTAAATAAAATCACAAAAAGTAATCAATTAGCTAGTTGCATGGATTCATGCATGCATCACTGATGTCACCCCACTACATAAATATCTCCTCTAATTCCCCAGCACAAGGCAACTTACTCCCTCCATCCACATATAAAAAGGCCTAATGCATTCTCCAAGACTGCCTTTGACTATTCGTAAGATTAATCATTGGATGCCCCTTTCACGTATGAATTTGATTGTATGCTTTGTGTAACTTGTATATCATATATTATTGCTCTAACATGTGGTCAAAATTAGCCTCGAAAAATGCATTGGGTATATATATTAAAATATCTAAAAACACATATATTTAGGAACATATTGCATCATGCCCACTAGCTAACAACCTATTTGTTCCAAAACTTAGTTAGTGCATGCCATCCTTGATTATGCATAGGGAGCATCTGTATTGATGTTCCTTTTTCATATGCATGCATGGTCACTACTAGCTTGTTGACAAATTCATGCACAGGTCACTAGTATTGGATTGATTAGTTAGTAGTAATCTAAATTGCATGCATAAGGTAATTAAGAGCACATAGAAA